ATGTAGGCAAGAATTTGCAGACTCTCATTAAATCATAAGAGCTTATTATGTATCCTAAATCTAGGTATAGTATTGAGGGAACACACTAGGGCAGTGGTCTCCAAACTTGGCAACTTTAAGACTTGTGGACTTTAACTCCCAGAGTTCCTCAGTCAGCAAAGCTGGCTGAGGAACTCTAGGAGTTGAAGTCCACAGGTCTTAAAGTTGCCAAGTTTGGAGACCACTGCCCTAGTGTGTTCCCTCAATACTATACCTAGATTTAGGATACATAATAAGCTCTTATGATTTAATGAGAGTCTGCAAATTCTTGCCTACATAAGTTAGCCCTTAGTTCTGGAAATCTATGTAGAGGACTGAGGTGACAGTGCCCAGAAGTGTAAAGTGGCCTTTTCTATTTCAGATTGCAGTTTTGAGTGGCATGTATTGCCATCAGGTTGGTGATTATAAAGATGATAGGCAACTGAAGATGACAAGGAGAAAGAATGCTTCCATTTAGATGAGAAAAATGACAGTCTGTAACAAGGAAGATTAATATTAACTTATGTGGCTTTACTTATGGGTCATTTGTTGTATTCTTAGAGTAATACATTCCTTGGAATTCTGTAGTAGATCTCATCAAGGTTGAAAATTTAAAAATAAATTTATTCATTTAGTAACAAATATAATTCTCCTCAAACTGTTTTCCAAGTTAAGGCATCGCATACAATATTATTTATGGATATGCTTTTTTTATGACCCTGTTTCTGTTCCTTTAGAATTTGAGTAATAATGTGTATGAATAACTTCTCCAGCATTGTACCCGAGTTTTCCTGCTTGCACAAAGAACTGTATGAATTGTGAATATTTTAAAAATATTAATATTCTTTTTTGCCCTATATCCATTTTCATCTCTTGCAAATTATTTACTATCAACTTATTCCCCCCCCCTTGCATTAAGGACAAACAGAAAACTTCTTTCATCTGCCTTCCCTCTGATTTATGATAAATTTAGTTTCCTTCAGCCTGGCATTTGCTTCAGCAGGCAACCTTCCTTCAAGTACCACCCTGATTGATGTTGTAATCTTTGATATCTTCCATTAGCCTCCAGGATCACTAAGTTCAAGGCCCTCTTGGAACCTAAGGAGCCCTGCCGAGGAACTGAAGGCCTTTCGAGTCCTTGGGGTGATTGACAAGGTAATTCTTCAGTGTCTCTTCAAGAGTTCAGTCATAAATCGACTGCATGCTGACATTCTGTCTTTGAAGCTGCGGTTCTTAAGGATATGAAACAAAGGAGGAAAATGACTCAAATGCATCTGCACTTTAAAATAACAAAAGTAGAAGGAAAAGAAAGGCTTTTATCTAAGCAATTCATGTAAGGTCATGCAAAATATATTTGAGTAAAAGAATTATGTTTGGTTCCATTCTGTGAGAAGGGCCTTGATTTTTTTAAAAAAAATTGCTCTGCACACTTTCAGAAAGTTGCCAAGATGGTAGTAGGGGACAAATAACTTTGAAAGAAGGCAAGTTGGAAAATTCGACAGCCACTGAAAAGCTGGCAGCCCTAACTGAAAAACTAAGGTCAAATTTCTTCAGCATTGTGTACTATATTTTTGGTAGAGCCAATTATTTAATGTTTTATAGGTCTGCTGGTTCTTCTTTCCTCAAATCTCCAGGTGATACAAATAATGAATGAGATGTGGGTAATTGAAATACCTAGAATAAAGCTGAGTTTGGTCAAATGGTAAAGGCACAAGGCTAGAAACCAGTAGACTGTGAGTTCTAGACTTGCTTTTGCCAAGAAAGCCAGCTGGGTGACTTTGGGCCAGTCATTTTTTTTCAACCCATGAAACAACCACCATAGTCACCATCTTATTCATTATTTGTATCA